TAGTGTGTGGATTGGTCAACATACTTCAGCCACGTTCTTGTGATTCATCGCCTCTAGAGACTGTGTGCGTCGAGATATATGCTACATTGAACATTCCACGAATACACCAAGTAGAGGTCTTACACTTCATTTGCAAGAGGGAGGTATTAAGCAGCATCATTCTCAACACCACAACACCATCCTGAATCGCATAGTGAAAGTGAAAGTGAATATATAGTGAAATAGTGAAAGTGACATAGTGAAAGATACGACAGTAATCACACACACCGACGACCGTTGGAGACTTCGTACGCTTGAGGCTGTGTTCATTCGGGAGCTGACGCCAGTAATCAACATCTAGATGAATTCAATTTCGAATATTCAGCGGTTCGATGGTCCTCCATCGAACACACAGAGAATGACATCCAGAGGGAAGATGGAAGACCTGGCGGACAACTAGAAGTCAGTGTCAGGCAATAGTCCCTACCTTTACACAGTAAAGACATCTCAGACACCAGGCAGTGTCTGGGATGCTCCCGGACGCAGGTTCGAATCCTTGTCACGGCCCTTGTAGATTTGTTCATTTAATAGTCCCTACTCTTCGGCGCTCCCTGCGATTAAGAAGGTTAGGTGAATCGTAACGTGAGGTGTACCCACGCTTATGAATGTCTAGATTTCTCCTGGTATGCTGCTAAGGTCGCCTCGCTCCTGTGCCAGGTAAGTCCACAACGGGCTCACCATAGCCTGTGCTACTTGGAACGTTTTGTTCCGAGTAGCTAAATCTAAAGCAACAACAACTCCTGGTATGCTCAGTATACCTGAGCCAGTTAAACAAAGTGTTTTCCTCTATATGTCACAGTGTGCACGAAACGTCGTACAATAAAATGGAATGATTACATGATCTAGTGTTTCTTCATCCTTCAGATGGTAGAAGATATTTGTGTAGAATGGAAAATTAACAAGTCGCAATGCTGTTGTGTTTAATGACGTGTATTAGAGAAAACCTGCTGCCAATATATATATAAAATGACTCGACCATTATACAACCGGTTGCCAAAAAAAAGTTGCATTGCGGTAATTAGTTTTGAAAATTAATTTCTCAGCAATTAGTACCGGCGATTCAACTGGTTTTTGCAAATTACTTCCTGTAATTATTTTTTGCGTTTGTTCCACATTCTCTTGTTAGAACAAAGTTTGTAAATCAATTAAACATGCTAATCAATTGCATTCATCATTTAAACCACTGAACTGCTATCGCATTTTAATTGAATATGTTGAAACTTTGACACATTCGCTTGTTGGTTCTGATGATTATTTTTTATCCAAATTACGAATATTTAATATAAATTAATAATTTTGATCAGAAGCCCTAATTTGAAAATACACCGCTGGATTTCCGATGCTTCAACAACAGAACACAGGAGGAAATGATTCAAGTTCCATATATAATACGCTACAATAAAATACAATACAATACAGTTAGCCCTCTAACAAGAGCAGCGTAGAAGATGGGAGAAGAGACCATACCAAAGCCAGAGTTCCACAGAGCTCCTTTCACGAGTTCGCAAGTTACCTGTTTTGTGTTAGTTAGTTGGGTCATTAATTATGCCCTCCATACCCAGGCTGAGGGTGGTGGCGGAGAGGGTAACAGACGCACATAATGGGTTCAGGAGTCCATAGTTCAATTAGCTAAGCAAGTAACAATCTTGAGAACCTAATTACGCAATTTGGAACAAACAGAACGCCAGAGAGCAGAGGGAGAGACCAAAGGGCCAGGAACAAATACCTCAATGTGAGGAGAGAAGCTGAGAGGCAGTATGAAAGTGACAGCAAATAAAGCCAGGACTGACCTAAAAGTGCCCCACAGTCACATCAGGAGGAAAACAACAGTGAAACAACAGGTGATGAAGCTGAGAGCGGGTGAGGACAGGTACACAAAGAATGACAAAGAGGTGAGCGCAGAACTCAACAAGAGATTCTAGGTCTTCACAGTAGAACGAGAAGAGGTCTCTGAACTAAGAGACCTCTTCCATTTTCAGACCATTTTCAGTGGGCAAATGCCCCAACAGGCCACTCGAACCTTACCTAACACAGTGCACAGTTAACAACCAAATAAGATTTCATCTGAGATTTAACAGAGAAGAAGCTTCATGCTAAACACATTGGACAAAATGTTACTGATTATGTCCAGTCAACGGGTCAAAAAGACTCAGTAAGACAAACATGGGTGACGCTCAGAGAGTCAGACAGAGCGCTTAAGGCTCGGCCAAGAACACTACTGCCAAAAAGATTCTGTAATTTATATCTCTTAAGTGGTACCATTAGTCCGCCTTCCTTGTGAGGTACCAGTATTCTCCTCCTTTATGAGTTACCAGTAATTCACCTCCCTTATTCGTTACCAGTAATTCATCTTTCTTATGAGTTACCAGTAATTCATCTCTTCTATGAGGTACCGGTAATCCACCTGCCTCATCCATCACTCGGAGCCAATTTGTGCAGCTCTGGTTGAGGAACCGACCCGGAGTATGTCACTATTATCGCCCGTCTCAGTCCTGCAGATATGTCGCCGACGTCAATAACCCGGTTGGCTAAGTTGTCGGTCGTTCCGCATCAATATGCCGGCGAGCCGTCGCGTGTCGCCGACGTTCGTCGTAAAGTTTCGGTAATTTAGCGGAGTTGTTGGCGTACGACTCCGTGGGCATGCCTGTGTGTCGTCGAGGTCTTGGCAAGCTCAGCCACGTGGAACAGACAGACAGTAAGGAAAGCTCTCGTTCAGCTGTCATTAAAACTGTTGCTGAGCTGCCAAACAAAGAATTTTCGTGGAGCTTATTAATCGATCCTAATTAGCGGTAAATAGGGGCGGTCAATCATCTGTCACTCAGATGAAAATATGCTGCCAACAGGCTGTAATCGAGTTGATGCTGACTATTATATAATAACAATTAAGAGGCCATAGGGCTGTCAACAGCTGTCATTAAGGATGTAACTAGCCTGAAAATATGTTATGATTAAGTTGTCAGGAGCTTGTTATTGGGGCTCTCATTATGCTATCGTTGACCTGTCAAAGACCATCTAGTTTGTTATCATAAAGCTGTCAATATGTTAATTATATCGAAGTTATCAAACTGTTATTAAGGTGTCCTGGGAACCGCCCAGCCGTCAATTATTTTGTTATGGTTGAGTAATAATAATTATTATTATTATTGATGACCCAACTACACACCAGAAGATGAAGAGACGACGACGTTTCGGTCCGTCCTGGACCGTTATAAAGTCGATTGTGATGGGACAGAGATTGATGATGAAGATTAAGCCACCCAAAAGGTGCCACGGGCATGAATAGCCCGTAAGTGGTGGCCCTTTTGAGCCATAACTAGTATCAGTAGATGATACTGTAGATCTGTGGAGGTGCGACTGCACCCTGCGTGACGGGAGATGTCTCCCGTGAAGTGAGAGCAGGTAAAAGCATTATCACTATCGACTTGATAGTGATAATTCGGTCCAGGACGAACCGAAACATCGTCGTCTCCTCATCTTCTGGTGTGTGGTTTTGGTCATCATATCTTCAGCCACGTTATTGTGACTCATCATCTGCAATAATTATTATTATAATAATAATGATCAAATCAATTGGAGAAATGTAGCGACTGGAACCAGCAATGACGGTATAGGGAGCCAGTCGGCCGAGCGGACAGCATGATGGACTTGTAATCCTGTGGTCCCGGGTTCGATCCCGGACGCCGGCGAGAAACACTGGGCAGAGTTTCTTTCACCCTATGCCCCTGTTACCTAGCAGTAAAATAGGTACCTGGGTGTTAATCAGCTGTCACGGGCTGCTTCCTTGGGGTGGAGGCCTGGTCGAGGACCGGGCCGCGGGGACACTAAAGCCCTGAAATCATCTCAAGATAACCTCAAGATAAGATACTCTCAGCCGTGCACCTGACCCCTTGTACCACAAGGTACAAGTAACACAACCTGGGATTCCACAGGTAGGCTGGAGGCTTCTATTGAAGTCAAGTCCAAGTTTTACCTATAACCCGGAAACACTCTGGTGTAGGGTAGAGCAGCTCATCAACTGTACACTCAAACTTCAGCTTCAGATGTGTCTCTGAATTTCACTCACCAATATTATCATACACACGTTCTCTGAAGTCTACTACATATATGTCATATATGAAATACATATATGTCTTATACTAGACCGACGAATATTTATGTTTTTTTTAGGGACTTTGTAATTAAATAGTGCAAAATGTGGCTTACTGGGGCTTCATTATTTCATAATGGTACTATCGACTACAGGGTTACAAAAAAAGGAGTAATTTCAGGAGGATATTCTGCTTTCAGCCATCAGTGCCATCCCATCCAATAACTAGTAGTCTTTTTGTTTGTTTGTTTTTGTTTTTACAAAAATAAGAGTCAAGCAGAAGAATCTTGAGTGTTTGAGAAGTGATCATTGGTACATTCAAGTGTGTGTTTACTAGTTGTGTTTTTGCGGGGGTTGAGCTTTGCTCTTTCGGCCCGCCTCTCAACTGTCAATCAACTGTTTACTATTTTTTTTTTCTCTCTCTCCACACCACACACACACACCAGGAAGCAGCCCGTGACAGCTGACTAACTCCCAGGTACCTATTTACTGCTAGGTAACAGGGGCATTTAGGGTGAAAGAAACTTTGCCCATTTGTTTCTGCCTCGTGCGGGAATCGAACCCGCGCCACAGAATTACGAGCCCTGCGCGCTATCCACCAGGCTACGAGGCCCCTTATGTGTGCCCTCCCACATGCCCCCCCCCCCCACACACACACACAATGTGTATGTGTGTGTGTGTGTGTGTGTGTGTGTGTGTGTGTGTGTGTTTGAATGTATGTATGTATATGTATGTATGTCTGTTCATACTCCCCACACACATATATCTTACCCCGAAACATACTATACTAACCCGTATCTCAACTTCTGAATATATTCATGCGTTCACTCTATACACATTTAAAACGGATCTCCATCTCTCTCTCCCCACCCAGGCAGGATGCTGGCGTCTCCCCCGATCTCTTTCCTCTGCATCTCCTGCTTAGGTAAGTACCACCCGGCATCCCTATATATTGTGCTTTCAGGAGGAATGTTGAACTTTATCATATAACCCCCTAAAACAAAACAAAAATAGCTGATCCCGTTTTCTATGTTATTACATAAGCGAGCGCTTAATATTATGGTGGCTTCTATGATATTCTGTGCGCATGATATGTTAAGATTAAGCTAATGTTTTGGTGTTGTAGAAAATGGTATTTTGGAGAGAAATAATGGGATTGGTGTTTTTAATTTTTTTTTGTTATGGAAATCACAATTTTTTTTATTATTGCTCATAAGCAGCATATGTGGACATGTATAGGTCCATTGAGACGACAAAAAAATGTATTGTTACACTATGTGAGATTAGTTGAAGTGTTCGAATTCAAACTCAATCTGTACAGCATTTGAGTTTGAATTAATGTCTCAATTTTCATGATAAAAATGAAAGGAAAACTGTAAATATAGTTTAAAGTTATCTTTTTTGTCTCATTTGTACGAAAGCAACATATGTGGCTACATAGAAAATACAGCAATTGAGCACATGACTAATGTAGAATAACACATATCTTAGTGATGAACAACTGTGGCTCTGTAAGAATGCCTTCAACATACTACAAGTGACTGTCTTCCCCCCAGACACATCCTTTATACCCAGAACATGAGCTGTATTACCTCGGTTATCTTGAGATCATCTTGAGGTTATCTTGAGATGATTTCGGGGCTTAGCGTCCCCGCGGCCCGGTCTTCGACCAGGCCTCTTTTTTGTTACACCCCCCCCCCCAGGAAGCAGCCCGTAGCAGCTGTCTAACTCCCAGGTACCTATTTACTGCTACGTAACAGGGGCATCAGGGTGAAAGAAACATTTTCCCATTTGTCTCCGCCTCCACCGGGAATCGAAGCCGGAACCTCAGGACTACGAATCAGAAGAGCTGTCCACCCAGCTGTCAGGCGCCCTCTGACACATATCTGACCCACCTCACACACATATCTGACCCACCTCACACACATATCTGACCCACCTCACACACATATCATCTCCTGTGTTACCACAGTCTGGGGCCTGATAGCTGAATGGACAGCGCTCTGGACTCGTAATCCTAGGGTCCGGGTTCGATCCCGGGGGATGGCAGAAACAAATGGGGAGAGTTTCTTTCACCCTGATGCTCATGTTACCTAGCTGTAAATAGGTACCTGGGAGTTAGACAGCTGTCACTGGCTGATTTCTGCGGGTGTGTGAGTGTGGAGAAAAAATCAGTTGATTGATTGACAGTTGAGAGGCGGGCCGAAAGAACAGAGCTCAACCCCCACAAACAAAACTAGGTGAATACACAGGTACACAGACAGGTACACAGACAGGTACACAGGCAGGTACACAGACAGGTACACAGGCAGGTACACAGGCAGGTACACAGACAGGTACACAGGCAGGTACACAGACAGGTACACAGGCAGGTACACAGGCAGGTACACAGACAGGTACACAGACAGGTACACAGGCAGGTACACAGACAGGTACACAGACAGGTACACAGACAGGTACACAGACAGGTACACAGACAGGTACACAGACAGGTACACAGGCAGGTACACAGACAGGTACACAGGCAGGTACACAGACAGGTACACAGACAGGTACACAGACAGGTACACAGACAGGTACACAGACAGGTACACAGACAGGTACACAGACAGGTACACAGACAGGTACACAGACAGGTACACAGACACGTACACAGACACGTACACAGACACGTACACAGACAGGTACACAGACAGGTACACATCCAGGTACACAGGCAGGTACACAGACAGGTACACAGGCAGGTACACAGACAGATACACAGACAGGTATCACTATAAACATTAATAGCTTACAATCAAATAATAATGTACTGTACCATCCGAAGCCAAATATGCATACTTAATAAGAAGGCTAAACCCTGGAAACACAAACCGAAACTGTCTCTATTTTCCGCTTGTTACAACTTATAATAAAGTTGTTACATCTTGGCTTAACGTGTTTATGACGTATTAGAACGTTGTTACAACTTGCTATATTGGTTGTTATAACTGGTTAGGAGGAGTTAAAACTTGTTCGAACGTTGTACCAACGTCGTAGTGTCGGTGTGTGTTTGGCGGGAAGTCAAAATGTGTTCAGTTCCCTCTCACACTGGACGGTGATAAGGTGATAAAACATAACAAAACATTGCTAAGCTTGCAGTAAATAAAGACAACATTGAACGTTGTCTTGAGATATCAAAAGATCCATTAAAAGTGTCATTAGACGAGAGCTCTTGGATGACTTTAAAGAAAGTAGAAAAGTGTAAACAGTTATGAGTAAAAAAAAAACAATATTTATCACAAGATGTGCACAAGAAACCATCTTTACGGGACAAGTAGCAATATCAGCAGGCTATCAGACGTTGTCACAGACCGAAAACTACTTGGTTACAAGTATCTCGCGTGGATACTTGTAAAGTATCCACAAGTGTAAAGTGTGTGGACAAAGACACTTAAGCAACATATCTAAGATTTTAAAAAGATTGAACCATATAAGATATAAATCTAAACTCACGCTGCACGAAATTGCAAACCATCTTATTACAAATGATCAAATATCTGAAATCGTTGCACTGTATCCGTAGTTCACTTCTCGTAGATAAATGACATATATTATATAAATGAATAAACTCCTGTAGAGTGAAGACTATTAATTGCAGCAGGTTTTCTACGACCCAATAATATCCCTATATCTAAATATTTTATATATTAGCCAAAGACCCACCATCAATACATATTAACTTATGTCAATATATAAATATTGTAATACAAATATTTTTGAAACAAACTGAGATTATCATTAAATTAAAAGATGTCCAGGTTAGACGGTATTGTTAAGGTAAAAATGTTCGCCGAGCTCTGATTAAGATGCTTTGTATCTTGTGTAATTGTAGGGAAAACTGACTTGTGGGATCTATTTATTTTAATTTATATTAATTTATTTATATTAATTTATTTCACGTTAATTTATTTATTTCGATAGCGGACTGTATGATATTAAGGTGGACTGTATGTTTAATTTTCCCACAAGTAGTTTCCTACACAAGCTGGGGGGTTTATTAATTATACAGTCTATCCATCAAAATTAATCGATTGGTAGACATTCACCACAAATGTTACTAGGTGCTAGACTACCTAGGTTAATGAATAAACTTTAAGCCTTATCTGAGTGGAAGGCCTCAACATTGTGGCATGGGTATAGAAAACGTGAGGAGCCAGCCAGACTCGTATTCACCTAATTGTGCTTGCGGTGAGACTCGTGGTCTCACCATGTTGTGTACAGGATGGGACAAGATCAGTCACGTGGTCTCCCGTCTCTGATTCCACGTTAATAACCTCACGTCTCAATTAACCTGCGAACAAGTTTTACACTATAATATTTACAACACATAAATTATTCATTATTTTACAAGTATATAATAATATCCTGAAATTAAGGATGGGATTATTGCTCTTTATTTTTACTCACTAAATAAGAGCTCTTATAACATACTATGAATACTGTACGGATACAATGTCTTCCCCGGATACAATGTCTTCCCCGGATACAATTGTGTCGATTTGTGCTCTCCATCACCACAGAAATAATTTGCTGTTTACAAAAACTCGGAAGGTCAACACGACACGTTTTTTTTCCGTTTCTGGTTGAAAAATGGCTACTTCCTCTCTCCTCTCGCATCGGCTTCTCTCCAGATGCGTTTTTATCAAGAAGTGGAAAGAGGCTTTATCTTTAATTTGTTTTAGTACTGATAAATAAGTTCCTTCCAGGGAAAAGTCTTAATGATGTTTACAGTCCAGTGACTGATGTTTTAAGATGAATTCACATTATTATTATTAGCTGGTGAATTTAGTGGAGACGTGACAGTGACATCCTCGTTTCCTTCTGGGGAAAATTCAATTCCAATCTCGTTTTCTTTGAATGATGAAAGCATATATAGTCCGGCAACCAGGAGGCCTGGTCGACGACCGGGCCGCGGGGACGCTAAGCCCCGGAAGCACCTCAAGGTAACCTCAAGGTATATACTTTGGGTTAATTTGTTAGTACAAAATCAGCAGCAATATTATCTGCATATTGTTTTGAAAGTAAATGATGTCTTTTTTTCCGACAGTAATCCTTTTTGCGCTACCGCTCACAGGATGAGTACTGGGTGCACAATAAACTAGCTTTAACAGTCAGTCAAACAAGGAGGAAGGTCATACCTGGATGGTCACTCAAGAAGTGGGACCATGAGAAGGGTCCACGAAGGAGTGGGACCAGGAAGGAGTGGGACCAGGAAGGAGTGGGACCAGGAAGGAGTGGGACCAGGAAGGAGTGGGACCAGGAAGGAGTGGGACCAGGAAGGAGTGGGACCAGGAAGGAGTGGGACCAGGAAGGAGTGGGACCAGGAAGGAGTGGGACCAAGAGAAGGGACCACGAAGGAGTGGGACCAGGAGGGATTGGGGCCAGGTGGGAGTGGGACCAGGAAGGAGTGGGGCCAGGAGGGAGTGGGACCAGGAAGGAGTGGGACCAGGAAGGAGTGGGGCCAGGAGGGAGTGGGGCCAGGCCTACACACCCACACCAGCCCACCACATAACAAAGCCTCACCCACCATGAGAGAGGTGAGTGAGGGCGCTCATCAGGAGAAGAGGAAGTGGAGGCAGCAATTAAACTCTATTCTCAGGGCCAAGGAGCGTGTTCCCCTCTTACACAAATAAGTGGGACTAAATTGATGGGAACTAAGATGCACCTCCTTCTCCCTGAACCCATCTCCCCTCCCCCCCCTCTCCACTCCCACCTCTGACCCCTCCCATCAAGACCTCCATCCCCCCCTCCCTCCGCCCATAAATCACACAGACAATGATAACCCCAAACACGTTGACTCTCGGAATATATTTAACCTCAGACCTTCGTTACCCTTTCGCCTACACGGGCGAGGCTGACGGCCAAGACCCACGGTGGGCTGAG